ATGCAAACTTTTTTTTTTCTTCTCTATTCTTTTCCATCAATCTCTAAGCAGGTAAATGGCTTTCATAGTAGATTTCCTTGACACATATATGCTCAATCTCCGTCTCTTATGATTTCATAGAATGACTTACAAGTGTAAAGTGACTCCCCGAATCCGCTTCTCTCTTGGGACTTGTCTTAATGTAGGGTCATTAAACTTCTAAGTTTTAAAAGTGGAAAACTCTTGTGGCAAACTCATTTTTTCTTAATCTTTACCACTTGTATAGATTTGTCAAGTTTTACTCTAAACTAGAAAATGCCCCTTAACAATAGCTGAGAAATCTGAAACTAGTGCCAAATTTTTGCTAATAGCTTAAGGTAAGTTCATATCAAATTTCGTGCACATCTAAGGTCAGGAAAAGGAAGTTTCTGTTTGGAATTTCCAGCAACAGCTTTACTTAGAAAATTCATAAACTTTAGCACATAAAGATTTAATTCATGTATTTTATATTTTTGGAAAAGGAACTTCACATAGGATAACATATTAGAAGGGCAAATCTGGTTTTATGATTTAAGGCATGCAAATCTCTAACTAAAGTCTCTGCTGTTGCAGAACTCTCCTGACTTCAGAAAATTTTTAAAAATTCATTCCTGAACCATTCAGGACGAATATATATGAAAAAAAATACCCCTTTGGTTCTACTAACACCATTATTTTCTGTGAAATCATATTTTGGGTACAAGGTAACAAAATCCTCAGAAAAGAGAAATGTGACATTGCTGGAAATTGAGAAACAGCAAGCTTAATTTTGGTATTTAAAACTCTTTCATGAAATCCAGCCTAAAAGCAATTAGATGGTTCCAATATCTCAACATGTGAAGAAACATGCTAGTAAATCAAATAAAACATGTTCTTGAAGTAAAAGGAACGGTGTTCAACAAAAGTATAGGAATCTTGTTCTTTTAGTAACCAAATCAAAGTATCATCATAAGAAGTTGAATAAAGCAATATATAACATTCCTGACCATTGACTGATTCCAATCTCTTAACGCATTGCTCCACACCAATCAACAATTCTTGGAGTGAACTTTTGATTGAAACGAAGTGCTCCTCTCTCTAAAACTTGGAAATCTTGAACCGAAACTCGGATGCACGCAAGATATTTCCTCTCTTTTCTATTCCTCTCTTATTTTTTATTTGCTTCTCTCTAAATAACTTGGTTTGGTTTTTATGTTTCTGCTTACTAAGCATTGCTGAGAGCCTTCTTTAGGTTATTGGGTTGGTAATGCTTCTACTGGGTAGGAGTTTTCATCAAATTTGGAGTCCTAAAACCTTTAGACTCAAAATAGTCATTTGATATCAAATTCTTATAATACAAGGTCTCTTCCATGTACGTGTTAATCTGATATATGCTTATGGGAAGTTGGGATTGAACTTCTAATTATATTGGAATTAGGGATTATTTATTCTAATACAAACAAAAAATTTAATCAATAAAGAATTCTAACTCGAGAATGAGCATCTCCGATAGCGTTTTTTTATTTAAAGAGCATCTTCTATCATATATAGAGTATCTTAAGAAATTTTTAAATGTAAAGAGTCAAACTTTTTACACAATTCCAATAACACTGTTCCATTTATTATTTTGCCTCATTATTTTTTAGGAATCAAAGAAATAAATGGAAAATTATGCAATAATAAATAAAATTTGTATAGATAGTCTACTTGACTCTCTACATTTGGAGAGTCAAATTCACTTTTTAGTTTAATTTTTTTAAGATAAAGAGTGTATTTGACACCTCAAAAAGAGGTTTGACTCTCAGAAAAGGAATAATGGGGCTAATAAAGAGCCTACTAGAGATGAGCATTTCCAATAGTTCTCTTTATTGCAAAGAGCATCTTCTACCTATAAAGAGCTTCTTAAGGAATTTTTAGAAATAAAAGTGAACTTTTTACATAACTCCAATAACAGTTTCTATATCCATTCATTATTTTGCTTTTTTCATTAGCAAGTATTGTTTATCATTTTTCCTCTTTTTTATTTTATAGAAATCAAAGAAATGAATAGAAAATTGTGCAATAATAAATGAAGCATTGTATAAAGAGTGAATTCATTTGAAGAGTCAAATTCACTCTTTATTTTAATTATTGAATATGAAGACTGTAGTGGGCACCTCAAAAGGAGGTTTGACTCCCTAAATTAGAAAAAATAAAACTAATAAAGAGTTTATTGGAGATGCTCCAAGGAGTTTAGGTTGGATTGAGATATAATAATTATAAAATAATGAAATTCTTTCTTTCTCCTTGCAATCAATCTAAGTGGCTAAAATTACATGTCTAATTTTCCATTAGTAATAGATGAGCCTAGATTGCTTTTGACTTCTCTTTCTTGGTCTCTGAAAATATTTTTTTTTTTTAAGCAAAACATCAACATAGCATCAGTGAGTTTATAGACTCCATCAAAGAAGGCTGATAGGGGTTAGGATGTCCTGACCATAAATAAAATAAAACTCACAGTAACAAAAGGAAGTGCAGTGAACCTCCTAAAAGCAGAGCAATGTAACATGTAAAAGAATGAAATAAATGGGAAAGTACTACTTCCTATAAAAAGAAAGCAAGAGTAAAGCAAACTAATGTCATCTAATACTAGAAAGTCCATATCGATCAATCTGTACAAGGACACGAAGTCATCGTGGTAGGTCAAGTGGTCAATACTTGCGATAGTCCCAACCCTCGGATGCGAGTGAATCAACTACCTGATTCTTCTCACAGCAAATGTGGGACAATATCATGGTCAAATGAGAGGAGTGATCTGAGAGTGATTTGAATCGTACATGGTCTTCCATCCTTAATGATATAGTGAACGGCCACAGACGAGAAGGGCTATCAATGGATTGGATTTTGATCGGAATTCGATGATATTAATAGAAAATGAATTTATGGTCTTAATTCGATAATCCGACCATGATCCGAATCCGATAATCCGTTAATTAAATGGGCTAAATATGGATATGAGTCAATTCAATCCCATAACAACCCGATCTGATTTGTTATAAATAGCATTCGGTTAAATATTTTTATGGCATGTTATTTGTCACTAAAATAAATAAATGAGAAAATAAAGAAATTTAGAATAAAAAAGTCAACAAATTCAAAATACAAAAAAAAAATAATAATAAGAAAGTCTATCCACCTGTACACCATCAATTGTTTGTAGGGGTTTTTCTTTTGCGTTTCAAAAAGTCATAAGCCATCCCACATCGATTTCTATCAAAAAAGGAACTAAAGGAATAAGTTATAAATAGGGGACCAGCCATTACTAGAAATTTTCAGTATTTGGGCCTTATGGGTTTAAAACATGGGCCTAAATAATAAGTTAATTTCAACTTTGATTTTATCTTCCTAATTTTTTTTTTTCAAATTTCAAATCGAATACCCGGTAATATAGCAAATCGGATATGGATTATCAGATGGATTAGATATGGGCTGATTCAATCCATTTACAACCCTACAAACGAGTCAACTTCCACACATGGCAAATAATCCAAGTCGTTGAATAAAATCCCATCCAAAAATAGCCTGTAACTCGGCTCTTGCTCTCTGAATGCCAAAAACTTTTTTCAAACCCAATTTTACATAATTTAATACGCAATCCTATATTGACATACAAAATCTTTTCATTCAATATTTAATTATTTGACCCAAATGAATATATCATCTTTATAATTTCTTTTCACTTTAGACCTTAAAATCTCAAAATTGTCAAAAGATACCCAATTCGAAAAAAATTGATTATTCTCAACTTGAAATAATCTTAATTCATCTCTCTAATTTAAAAATATGCTTCTTACTATATTGTAATTTAGTCCCTAAAATTTCTAAATATTGCTAATAGACCCAATATGTTTTCACGTTCGCAAAATCCAAACATAATAATCTATAAAATTTTGGGGTATTACGTATTTATGTGTAATACCTATACCATCTTGAATATCTCATTTATTCTTAAAATTAAGCACCACAAAATACTTCCTCTTTAATCATACAAGTTTTTACCCTTTATTGTTCAGGTGAGCACCAATGTTGTCTATAGTTCAAGTGTCGACTCATTCGTTAGAACTACAAACAGCTGACGCGTTTCACCAATAATGTATGTGCCTACCACAAAATATTCATCCTAGTAGATATTTTTGATCAATTTCTTTGGACTGAGCTCCCTTTCTCTAAAAAAACGAGAAGCAGCTTCTTAGGGAAACCTCTCCCCCAAGGTAGCTGCTTGCCGATGGCAAGGTATTCTTATTAGATAATTTTTTCAACTATAAAATTACCACCTCACCTAGACAGTGAGATCACTTTGTGTGGATATACCTTAGAGGGAAAACACTTGTGAGGCCATTTGAACCCACACTGTAAGGTTAACTATATATTTGTCAGTATGTACATTGAGTTTTGAGGAATCAGAGAAAAAATTTATTACGTTCTTGTGCATGTTAATCCTCATATTTTTGGAATCAGTTCAAACAGTGGTTCCTGTATACTAACTCACATCTTTATTGTGTGCTTCTCGAGAAACATCATTTCACTTTCTTGGGATTAAATATGCATAAATGACTGAATAGTGGTGACATATTCATTACTTCGCTGTATAAATTTTCAATATATCTGAGGTTAACATAATTTACCAATCATTTTTTAAGCAGGTGTTGATGTTTTAAGTGACAAGCAGATAGGAGAACAGAAAGATGTTCTGATAACTTTGATTGAACTTGTGTTCTTGGAGATGTTCATTTATCCATATTAATTTATTGTATCTTGCATCAAATTATTGAACTCCCAAAAGGAAGAGTTGAAGGCGAAGTTCGCTGCTAATTTGATCCCCATATCTTAATGGATTATTTTCTAGGCAGACATTTTGTAATTGATTACTCAGAATTTGATAGACCTGAGTACGGAAGAATTCCCCTTTAGCTTCTCTGTTTCTTATTTTTGTTCAATTCTTATTCTTTGACAATCTTGTGCAGGAGGGTTCTTGACATTTAAGCCTTCTATACCCAAGAGCTTGTTATTAGATGGCATACATAACCTAGAGTCACACTTCGCTCTGGTTAATTACCAAGTATGCGCATATAAATTTCTTTATAGTGATTCTTGGTAACATGATGATAACCATTCATATCTTATTTTTCTAATCATCAACCAAAATGATATCAGATCAAACAAATAAGGACTGCACTTGCCATTGCTTCATTATTGAATCGTACACTGGTGAGAACTGTTCTGCTTTTTTAGGAACTTTATTGTATGGAAAATAATGAAACCTTTGCTTTGAATTATTAGCCTTATCAATTGTTGCTTCCTTCTTTCACACATTTATTATATAGAAAGCAGAAAATCAAGTGAAACCTTACTTTCCACGATACAGAAAATACTCCTCATCTTAGCCTAACTTCGTGAGATAAAATTTTGATTATGGGTCTGTATATCGACGACTTCTACATTCTACATCAATTAGTCCAAATTTTATAATCTTGGAAAGAAAGAACAATCTGTATTTCTGGCTGTCAACTCGGCTTAGTGCATCAGTTAAAATCTAAGGATTGTCCTAAAATGTGGTTGAAGACGAGTTTTATTATACCATTTTACGATAATTTCTTTCCTCGTAGATTTCAGTAAAAGCATCTGGATAGAAAAAGATCTCATATCTTTGATGATTGATCTAACAGAGAAATTGTATCAACTTGTTGAATTTCTAGTTGGTGACAGTTTCTGCTTTGAAATTCATATTTTGATCCCTCTTTCATTATTTGTGATTTTAGGTAATGCCTCCACTATGGTGCAGGTTGGATAGACTCTGGTTTGGACATCCTGGGGTTTTGGTGGGCACTTTGACGAGGCAACCATTTGTATGTCCATTGGATCATGTGTTTGAGGTATTTGATCAGTTTACTGAACTTCACGTGGCCTTCTGTCATCTAATATTTTTGAAAAAAAATAATAATAATAAATAAATAAATGGAAATTATTTTATTTGACTCTACCCCTCTACCCCTATTTGATATCACCTGGAATTCAGAAGGAAAAATAAAAAATTGGGAAAAAGAAAAAAATGGTAGTCTTCAGAGGAAATTCTCTCTTGCACAATGATCTTGCTTTCTCATGTTTTCTATTAATTAATTGTAATTTTGTTACATAGTGGTATCATCAATATAATATTTATAAAAAGGGGGGAGAGAGAGAGGGGAGGCAGGGGGGAGGGAATTGTATATAGATCATGGTATTATGATTTATTTCAGTCTGATACATTTTGAATATTCATTTTTTACTTCAGGTTAATGTAATGTTGAAGGAATTTCCAGAAGAGGAATTGGGGCCGAAGATTAATTTTAGGGAATATTCTTTCTTTGAAAACCCACTTTTGCCCCAGCAGGTGTTCCTCTCATCAAGTACAACGAGATCACTCATTTCTTTCGTCCGTCGCTGAAAACCATGATTTTCCCATTTCTTTCAGGTGAAAGAGTCATGGCTTGATGTGCATCTTTGTCAGGAGGGATCACAAGGTTGTCTAGTGTCAAACAGTACAAGTCGGGTGGGAGTTCTCAAGTTTCCTAAGCGTATGACTGAAGAAACGGTAATTGATTTTCTTAGTTCCTTTCATAGTTAGGTTATACTAGACACTGCGTAAAAATGTGTCAGCACTGATAATACAAATGATCTTCGAGATTTCAATAAATTTCAAAGAAAGACATCCACCCGTCAAATAGACTTCTACTTTTCATTTGGAATTTGTTGATATCCTCTTTCGAATCAACCATTAATTTTGGCCAATAATATATCGTGCTTTATTATTGAAAAATAATCATGCTGGTAAATTGTTCTATCCTACGAGGAAAAATTAGTTAAATCTTCAAAATATTTAGTTAAGCATCGAAACTGTTGTTAATAGTTCTGTACTCTGTAAGATTGATGTTTCAACTTTCATGTGCCCGTTCCCCGGGGCGGATTTACAGTGGTGTCAACTGCTCCCACGGTAAATTTGAAAATTCAATATTGTTAAAAAAAGTCCTCGTAGTTTTCTATTTTTGCCCTCACAATTGTGTAATTTGCCCCTTCAAATCTTATCTTCTAGCTTTGTCCCTACCTGTTTCACATTGTCCGCTCTATATCTTATATGATATCTGGAGTTCATATTCAAGGACAACAACCTGTTAACTTTGATTTGTTTCGAGCAGTTGAAGACTGTTTTCTCATCATTCAAGGATGTCAAAGTCATTCAGTTCTCATCAATGCAAGATGCCTTTTTAGGCTTCAGTGACAAGGTATGTGTTTTCTTTATTTTTTTGTTTTCCTTTTTACTTTTAGATCTCATTGAGTTTTTGGGTACGCTTGAAAGAATATGTTATAGAACTTAATGCATATATTTGCATGATCAGAACCGGGAGGAAAAATTCAGAAATCGAATGCAACGATACGTGGGTATTTGGTGTTGCGTGGAGGATCACACTCCAGGCCACATATATTACGACATGTATTGGGACGAGAAGCCCGGCTGGAAACCAATTCCTCCCCAAACTCCACAAGAAGACCATCCCCCTCTGGTATATGCTGGGGCTAGCGGCGGCTAAAGATAAAAGCCACGGAATATTTGGAGCTGTTCCATATACCTAACCCCCATTGGTTACATAAGAGACTTGTATTCATATTTATAGTCGGTATGTTTTTATATTTATCTACGAGCTTTTTTGGTTTAGAATAGTTTCTTTCTACAAGAACAAATTTTTTTTGATTTATTGTGAAAAATATTTAAGTGCAAATAAAGGATATAAGCTAATCATTCGAAGTTTTACTAAGGTTTGGCTCCCAAATGTACCTTGTACGTTTTATGTTTCCATTTACATTTGTTTGTATGGGAGGGAACTATAGTAAAATTTTTACTTTTAAGCTTAAGATGGATAATCATAGAATGTAAGGTAAAGTAATGCTTTATGTCGAACCCTCCTCGAAAAGGTTGCAGATTCCCAGTGGTTTGAAGAGCAAGAGGAGGAATTAGTCTGGGAAGGAGCTTAGTTCTTGAACTAATAGGTATTGATTTGAGAGGTAAATTGATTACATAGAGATTCTACATTTTCTTTTAAAAAGCCTTTGTTTCTAAGAGCATCACAAGAAATATCAACATAATTATTATTTTTTTCTGATGCACAATGAACACTTTATATTTGACAATCTTCAACAAATTTATTCAAGATTGGACATGGAACACCTAGTGCCTGACATGGAACCCTTAATGCAAAAATATTGTATGTCCAGAATAAACCATCACAAATTTAGACCTGACATTGAGCAAGAGCGAATACGTCCAAGTTAAGCTCAACTCTTCATGATTTCAACCCAGGCGAGGGTGGCTTGGAAAGCCTTATTAAAGGACACTAGATTTGGTCGTATTTCAATACAAGAAATTACCCATTATTCTTCAAATATTTTGTGAATTAAATCATTCAAGTCCACCTAATTATTGAAATCGAACTCAAACCAAAAACATCAATTCGAGCTCGATTCTACTCCTAACTATTTTTTTTTTTTTTTATATCGTAATCTGACAACTTAAATTATCTTCTCAACATCTAGCAAAAATAGAAGAAATAAAATATTACTAAACACATATTTCAACATTTTCTTAATCCGATGCAAATTTACCAATAGATAGCATCAAATATCTAGCATAAATGTAGCCGAGAGTGGTTGGAAAGAGAGATTGTTAAATTATATATATATATATATATATA